AAATCTTAACAAATATAGATAATCTATATTTAACTCCTATCTATATTTTTTATATCTTAATAAATATAGATAGGAGATAAATTCTTAACAAATATAGATAGGAGAGTTAGGTTTGGAGGCAACTTCCCCTTGAGAAGTCTGTCTCCTGCCTACTCTACGATCATTCACATATGCATTTAAAAAAAAAATATTTAATTTAATTTTAATTTATTAAATTAGTAGATTTATTTTCATGGATAGATTTTGCACATGATTTGCTTATGCTTCTGAATTTAAATGATATTGTAGATTAGTTCGAGAATTAAATCTTTTACATGTTTGCATTTTGTAAATTATTTTAAATTATTTTGGCTTTATTCCTCTTTTTTAGAATTTAATTTGCTTTTTTACTTTTTTACTTTTATACGTATTTGTTAAGAATTTAAATTTGTTTAAATTTAAATTTCATTCCTTGCAGCAATGGCGCAAAGAATAATTAATTAAATATGTATTTAAATTTAATTTTTTTAATTAAACTCAATTTATTCTTATTACATATTATATATATATATATGTGTTTAATATTATTTTTATATAAATATTTGCAGAAGGTTAAGTTTTTGGTGGTGGGAGAATGTTGGATTTCAGATGACGTGATGCATGTGGCAGTCGAAAGATATGGAATATTTAAAGTTTTGAACGAAAGTTGTTTAGTGTTAAGACACAATAACACGCCGAATAAATACTAATTCAGAAGTTAAACAACAAAAATCAGCGTTATATTCACAAAATTTTCACAGGACTAGTTTCGATGGTTTTACCGAACCATCACCTTCTGTTGTCATTCCCTTCTTTCCATCAATTAGCTATAAAGTTGCACATATTTTGCAGAAATTTAACTTTCGGGTTGTTTATTCTCCCATCAATAAAATTCCAACTTCTATACTCAAGGACCCCATTCCGGATATGAATTCCTGGGGTATTTATAGGATTCCTTGCCAGTGTGGTTTAATTTACATTGGCCAAACTAAGAGAGCCTTAAAATTTCGCGTCAAAGAACATGAAGCATATGTTAGAAAAAAGGAAACACAGAAGTCTTCTGTTGCTCAACATTGTTGGTCCGAAAATCACACTTTCAATTTTTTCTGCTGCCAAAATTATTCATAAAAACATCTTCCATTGGAGAACTGGATTTTCTAGAGGCATTTCACATTCATAAAAATCTTTCTGTTCTAGTTAACGATCCTAATTCCAATCCAAATTTGCCTTCGGCTTTTAGAGAAATTATGTTTTAGTTCTGGTTTCGCCAACAGATGGCTCCATTTGCTTATTCTTGTCCAGGCTTTCTTATCTTATCTAATCATTATTTCCTATCTCGTTCATTTGCGGTTTTGCAGCTGAAGATGATGGTTCGGTAAAACCATCGAAACTAGTCCTGTGAAAATTTTGTGAATATAACGCTGATTTTTGTTGTTTGACTTCTGAAATTGTTTAGTGTTGTTAAATTCCTCGACGATAGTAACTTGAATATTTTAGTGAGTTTAATGATGCTGAATACGCATAATTTGCTATTCTGTTTACGTTCAAAACTCACTTCGCAGTGCTCTGATCTGATAAGTGTATATATTTATTTACTCAATAATTATTAACAAGAATTGTTCATTCTACTATTTTATGATGAGTTACATATACAGGACTAGTTTTTTTACTTGCAAAGCTGTTGGACGGTTGTTTTACTCATCTAGTATTTTATCATCTCATTTTCCTGTTCTGTTTACATAAAATAACGGCGTTTCACTACTGCAAAATTTAAAAGTTACTATTCTGTTTTACGTTTAAAAATCGCATCTTAGTGCTTTCATTGCCGCCTAAAAAATTCGCCAGATTTTGAAGGCCAAAACAGTTTGGCGCCAACTTACCCCGCTTATGGAATATTAGTCAAAATAAGAATTGAAAAAGTGATTATACTTGTTACCAAAAGGCCTACATTAAAAGTTTGTGGAAAAGATATTGTTGCGTGCGTATGGGTTCGTAGAAGATTGAATGAACAAGTTTGATGAAAAGTTAACAAAATATATTCTTATCACAAGAAATAAAACAAAATGCTGAAATTTTTCCTCACAAATATTCGTACAATATCACAATATCATACAGCAGTTATATTTTGAATTACTAAAACATTAAATAGAACTCATTTCAAAACGTAGAGAAAGCTAGTCCGATTTTACCGCGAATTCGCTACTATCAACAACAAAAACTTAGTAAACAATTGAAGAGATGTTTCTCTTCGGCTTTTTAAAACTTTTTAATCATGCACGAGAACATTCTGGTATTTTCTCGAGATTTCTGAAAAGCAAAAGAGTACAATTACAAGATACCTATTTATTAAATGTTAAATGTGCATGCTCCTATATTTTTACTTTTTCGGTGCAGCTTTTTCTTAAGACTCGTCACGCGCTGCGGCATTGCACGGGAAAATAAAACAATTTTAATTACAGTTCTACTAAAAAATGCTGAATAAATACAAAATCCGTAAAAACGGTACCTGAGGGTTACTACTGAACAGCCACCAAATTAAGGATTACAAAAAATAAGAATTTAAAAAATGATTATACTTGTTACCACAAGGCCTAGATTATAAAAGTTTGTGGAATAAGCTTAAATGATGTTAGTAAAAATAAAGATATATGGCGACATAGTAGAAATTATAGTGTCATCGTTAGTTAGCAGTTGAGAACGATATAGAGGCTACTTATACTGAATGCCGTACCAATGGGCCGAGGTTCAGGCCACCGGAAAATGTATAGATGTTTTATGTGTATATTGTGTGCGCAGCAAGGCGGCATTCGAAATATACGGTAAGCCTGATGTTCTCTATAATGTTTGATGGTTGAATAAAATGCTTGGGAGAACTTCGGACCACCTCTCCAGGTGTTCTCCAAAGAAACTGGGCTTAATAGTTAGTAAGGTCCGGTGATACTTAACGTACCTTCGAGAACGTACACGTGTCGACTTTCCTCCAACATATACCCTCGTCCTTAGTTTTATCACCACGTCAGTCTAGTTTTTCTGTACAGTTTTAATAATAAGAACCAAGTGTTGCTGGTTTACACGGTTTGATTGTTAATGACGATATCTGGGGACAGATAGCCGATGTGAAGATAAATGCTCTTAACTGGACTGAGCGTATCAGCATAGAGAACAAGAGCCTACTGATCGCCAGTGGGGTACTCAGGGGTAAATAATCCAGAACATATGACCCCAGACGCAGCATCCAGAGAACACTAAATTTATGTTACGAATTTTTATAACTATGTATTTTCATTCTTGGCAAGCAGCAGGAAGAGCAAAATCTTCATCTCTACCCGGCGCTGGAAATCCCAAGTACGGGTGTGTGGATTGCAGCCCAAACTTTAAATTAATCCCTTTATAAGAACTTTACCAGCTCGAACGCATTTTAAACGATGTCTTCTGTGAGCTTTGGAAGCCGCCACAGAAATGATATAGTGTCGCTGAAAAACGAAATCATCGCCTTTGATTTGATTTCATTCGATATTTAATGAACAGTAGGCATAATGGCGCAAGCTAGCCGTTGAGCTTGTGGATATGACTGTAACCCCGGTCTTTTGACGTGCATTTACATATTAGGTTATAGGATGAAGCGTGAATATCAACTGGACTTCTTTGGTTGGGTTGTGGCACGTGAGCGTCTATTAACTCTGCAGTGACGCAGTTTTTCGGCAAGAATAAGGATCCTATAAAGCAGTAGCTAGTAGCTCTAGCTCTAGGCAAGAAGCCACAGCAGAGCAACAAGTAACTTCCTTCATTAATACAATGTTTCTGGAGGAAGAAGAGCTGTAGTATCATTGTTAGTTTAAGGGCTACGTTGGTCCCGTGTTACCGTTTACATCTAGTAATGAGAGCGACATCCTACTGATGGCGTAATGGCGATGCTCTTAACTGGCAGAGTCGTAGCTAGTGTTTTCAGCGCCCAGGGACAATTGAAGATTTCGCGCCCCCTTCTGGTTGCCAAGGATGGAAAACATTTTACTCTAAAATGTCGTAACATCAGTTTGGCGCCCCTTGGATTCTGCGCCCGGGGACAGATGCCCCTCTTGCTCCCCTTAAGCTACGTCCCTGTTAACTGCTTTTTTGTGGCATGATACAACCAATGATATGCTGGATCGTAATTCGCTGTTTAAACCGATCATGCTAAGATAGCTCTCACGTCTAGAGAACAATTTAAATGATGCCTTTCCCAAGATCCGATCGGACCCACTACAGGAAAAACAAAGTGATGTGATGATAATTTTTATTTATAAATACTTAAAAACGCATTTTATACTTTAATGAAAACTGAAGGAAATGACCCTTAGTTTCCATGAGCCAGCTGGATATTTTTCTGAGAGCAGTCTTTGTTTTAGATTTAAAAAAAATATTCCAATATTAAATTCAAAAACCTTTCAATAACGATATTACGTTATCATTTTTTTTTTCCAAATCACTTTCATCAGAAATCAAAATGCATGAGAAGGTATAGTGTTTAAAGTGCAAATTTCATTTACTTCGCTTAAACTTTTAGAAAACATCAATTCTCGATAGCTTAGAAAACCATGCAAACATATATCTTGATTGCAGCATTGAAAAAAAAAAAAAAAAAAAAAAAAAAAAAAAAAACTGTTTGAAGGCATATCAGGCATATTTAGGTTTCGGACAAATTTTCCATCTTTCGTTCCAGCAGATGACGCTTTGAAATATCGAAAATCATATAAATACTCAAGTTTTGTTTTCCTCTTTATAAGGTTTTTCTTTTTTCTAGTATAAATTTCAAGTAGATTTCGGAATATTACATCTTTCAAAAATAGTTACTTTACGAAGTAAAGAAACATGATTATAATTTTTAATTTACATATTAAAAACATGTGTAATTAACTTGATTTTCGTTACCACTCAATCAAAGTGAAAATGATCGTGAAAATATTTATGAATTTGTTCCGTGGCATCAACCGCGTGTTTAAAGCGGCATTATGGCGATGAACTCTCTCAGCATTTATGTTTTGCGTGGACTTATAGTTTTTTAAAATTATTCTGACAAATTTTGAAATATTATCCACATTAATGTGAATATTTTCCCCAATGTACGTTTGTTCACTTTGGAAATGTGTGATATTTGTTCAGACGTCATCGAATTGCTTCAAAGATGTAAGTTATTTTTCATAAATTTTGGGATTATTTTACTATAAAACATTAAAAAATAATAACGTACAGCTTGTGTAGTTATTTATTTTGAGCGTAATTTTAAAATCTTGATTAGGAACCCTAATCTGCTCAATTTCGTTTCGTCGGAAATTTTGAAGAACTCGGTAGTTTATATTTAGGGTATAAATGTCTGTTTGTATTTAGTACATTTTTCTAAAAATATTATAAGTAAAATCTGCTGAAGCAATCCCCCTAAAATGAGCTGCTTCTTAATATTTCCATGGGATACTTTGCTGTTAAAGTTAGTGATGGATGACTCCCCAGTTTTTCATGTTTGTGTTAAATTCTCAAGAATATTGATTTTGAGAAAACAATTCTAATGTATATTTTATAATGTAATATTATCGCTCTCTTTTAAATCATTAGATCGTCAAAATTTTCGTACGTGAAGTGTATGCTATTTAGAATAGTTTTATTACTCGTGTTTTAAACAAATGTATAAGTAAAAATCGGAAATTTTGCATTTCATAATTTAAATACTGAAGTTTTTTGAATAAATCGTAATACGTGTATATAAAAATTAATTATAAGACTTGTGTTTCACTCTTCTGCTGTTTATTTTTTAGTCAAAACTTATGTGTTTTAGCTTTCATTTTAGTTAAAAAAATTAGAAAAATGTGTCATATACTGTAGATTTTCAAACTATTGCATTTGAAATGTTTATTAAACAAACTTCAAATGTAAGAAACATCATCGGTAAAATAATTAATAAAAATATATATTGACGTTTTCAGCAGTGAAATCATATTATGCGATTTATCAGGTTTATTAAAAAAATTAGCAGACATCTTAACTATAGCTTTTTCAGTTAAATTCCAATATTATTCTTCTGTGTTTGTCGTGATGTCATGTAGAACATTGAATTATATATTGTGTATTTGGTATGCTAATTATGTATGGTAAATTAAAAAAAAAAAGGTTCTTTTCTGAGATAATTAATAACTGTGAATTCATGTTGGCAAGTATGAAAATGAAGTATAAATCAACGTGTTTATCATTTGAGCTATTGCTGGAAAAAACTAAAGGTTCTGACACTTTATATTTACACATAATTTAGATATCTTAATTTGAAAAAAAAAAAAAAAAAAAAAAAAAAAAAAAAAAACTACTGTACAGCTAACTGTTTTATATGAAGATTTATGTCCATAGTGGCTGTCGATTATTTTTTGCGATACATTCAGATTGTTTACAATCAATGTGCAATTATAAAGTACACTGGTAATGATAGGGCAGATTGAGTTGAATTTTTGTTACATATTGTCTGCATAGAACTGCAATAACATTATGTAATTATCTGAATAATTTCTCTTTTATATAGTGAATTCTCTTTCCCCCCCTGAAACGTTATTCTAATTATAAAATTGGACGAAAATTAACCATAAGGCGTAACTAGGCTGATATTAAATTCAGAAAGTTAGGCAAGACCCTTCTTTTGCAAAGAAAATGTGCATGAATCAGCATTGGCATATCTCTTTCATAAATATGTTTTTTTTTTTTTTTTTTAAATAAGAATTTTAAAAAATTCATGATTTAAAAAAATATGAACTCATTAATGATGTTATTGAGTTCATGAAATTAGTATAATTTGTAAATGACATTTAAGTGAAAACTCTATGTACAGTATAATACTTACATATGTAGTTTCATTCTAATAGAATGTTATAAACCTCATGAAAAAAACAAGGAAACTACTCTTATACATATCCTCGGTTGGCAACAAATTTCTCGCCAAATATTTTTGGAGAGAAACTCTACGGCGGCATATTACTAAATTTTTTGTCTATATTTCGAACTTTTAGCCTAAAACATCTACAGAACGCAGTTTTCGCACATGCAAAAATCATGATTTTAGCACACAATTTACGTCAAAAATCCAAATTGATCTTTGGATTATGGTAACTTGGCAATTTTTTGCCGAAAATTTGGCGACCAACTCTGCTACAGCAACCCTCTATTTTTTTTTTTCCGCCATTTTGTCTTCATGAAGTAAAGACACGTTTCTTTTCTTTTTATTTACTGAACACTTTTTCCAACAATCTACTAGCCGAATTACACTTATGCTAGAAATTTTGGTTGATCTTTGGATTATGGTAACTTGGTGATTTTTTGGCAAAAATTTGGCAACCAACTCTGCTACAGCAACCCTCTATTTTTTTTTTCCGCCGCCATTTTGTCTTCACAAAGTAAAGACATATTTGGGAGCATTTTCGCGCATGCTCATTAACTAATTTAAATTGAGAAGTTTTGATTGGTGCAGATGGAAGAGAAGAATTATTTCAAACCATTGTTTGAAGTTCCGTTAATCTTCGGTCTTCGGCTGAACTGAATGAAAAAGGATAACGTATGTTCAGGTAAAATTTATTTATCTTTTATTTTTTGTATTTTTTAAAATAACAGTAGTGGTTCCGTCTAGTTTCTGATTGGTTATATTTTTTTTATTAATCGGTTTTTGGTCAGATACAGAATTGATGATTTTAGTTTTGATAACGTCTTTTATTCTACAGTTCGAGTTGCTAACGTATTTTGTTCTACAGTTCGATAACGTTACTTTTCGATTATGATGTGCAGTGGCTATGAATTGCCGAATATTAAGCATGAAATTTTTTTGGAAGATAGAACTGGAAGGAAAGCTTGCTGTGTAATTCAATGGGCAGTAGATGCAGGATGCTGCCGAATTTTAAAAATCGCGCCATGGGCCGCACCGTATTTTGATTTGGGATTTGGAAGGAACGTGGAGTGCTGTTAAGCGTAGGATGAAGGGGACGAAAAAGGTAAGCGAAGAGTTTGACTCCTATTTGGCGGAATATATGTGGCGGCGCCTGAACAATAATAAATCGTCATTCCGAAAAAACGAAAGACTTTATATTTGCAATAAGAGCAACATATCCGCCACCCGAGTTTGAGGGCCATGACATTGAGTTATGATATAGACCCTAAACATATGTGACACTGAGACCCATGGTATTTAATTTATTATATTTGATACGTGAATGTTTTGTATTTGCTGCGATGCATGTTGAAATTATTATTTTTATTTGTTATAAAGTCTGTTAAAAATTATTTTCGGTTGATCTTTGGATTATGGTAACTTGGCGATTTCTTGGCGAAAATTTGGCGACCAACTCTGCTACAGCAACCCTCTATCTTTTTTTTTTTTTTTTTTCCCACCGTCATTTTGTCTTCACGAAGTAAAGACGTGTTTCTTTTCTTTTTATTTACTGAAACACTTTTTCCAACAATCTATAGCCAAATTACACTTATACTAGAAATTTTATGTAACAAAACTGCTTAATCATGACAAATATTCACTGCAAAATTGGGAAAAAGTGCACAATCGCAAAACTCCTTGCGGCATTTTCACAATAAACACATACCATAAACCATGTACACATCGACTTATTTTTACTTAAAAAAAACATTCCAGAATTGCACAAAAATGGCATTGCGCACACTCTTCACTATATCCATGTACACTGGCTTTTTTCTCATAAATTAGAAAAATTTCACGAAAATGCATGACAATTTTCTGAATCTTTAAACCCGGTAAAAAGAACATATATGAAATTACCTTATCGCGAAAAAGTATATACCCTTTCCAAATATGAACATTTCCACGTATAAAAGAAATAAAATATCTAAAAACTTTTATCTCTAAATTATCTATTATAAACGTCACCAACGAATTCATACCACAAACATTACAATTACTTAGTGTCAAATATTTAAATTATTTCCATGCACGTTTACTTCAACTAAAACTTATACCAAATTCCTGCAAACACAAAATTCACAAAATAACTATCATTTAATTAAAATATCACTAAACCATGTACACGTCGACTTATTTTTACTTAAAAAAAAATCTCAGAATTGCACAAAAATGGCATTGTGCACACTCTTCACTATATCCACGTACACTGCTTTTTTCTCATAAATTAGAAAAATTTCACGAAAATGCATGAAAATACTCAACGTATACTACTCAAACATATTCCAAAATACTACAAACATATAACTCACAAAATCACAATCATTAAATTAAAATATAATTAAATTAAAAAACACTACTTAAAATATAAATAAGCACATAAATTAAATTAATAAAAATTAGATTACAATCCTAATTGCTTTAAACTAAATCATTGCTAATAACAATTTTCTAATAATACCATTTTAATTTATTTACTCCTTACATTTAGAACAATGCATAAAAATAATATCCTCAAATGATTATAATACTAATCAGCCAGAAAGTTTTGCAATTTTTTTAATTATCCACAAAAATAAAGCGGTACAAAAACATAAGAAAATTTGGTACTCTTCAATCAGGACTGCATTTAGAAATGTATATATAGATGCATGTGTATATGTATGTATTTGAATATATATATGTGTGTGCAAACACACATATATATGTACACAGCTATACATATACATACATGAACATATCCATACATGTATATATACATATACAGGTGAAAGTCGTTAATACGGACACCCCTAATTCGGAATGATCTATAATCCGGACCTCAAAGCTACAAACTTTCTGCGCATGCGTCAACCCATAATGTATTCACACATGCGCATAAACGTTTACGCATGCACGTTTAATGTATAACAGATGGTATAAGCTAAGCTAAAATTATCTAATTATCTATTTCAGTTAATGTTGCAGATTGCGTTGTTCCTTAATCTTCGAATTGGATCCGGCTTATTATTTTTTGCAGACTGTTCGAGCAATTTTATAAAAGTAAGCTTGAACTTTCGATTATGACTAATAGAATTTCCGATGCTGGAGCTGCCAAAGGATCTACAAAGCAAAAGCATGTTTCGATGTCCATCAAACAAAAAGTGGAATTTCTGCAAAAAATGGATAAAGGCATATCCTTTGTTTCTCTAAACATTTCGAAATCTGTTTATCAATTTCACGCTGCTCTGCGGGT